TATATGCCATCAGTGGAATCCACTTCAGCCATTTTGATTACACTACCAATCTAACAAGGTTTATCCTAGTACAGTCTTCTTGCCAGAAGAATGCTTGTAACAAGTTTAAAAAAAGCATTTCCATTATTGCATTTTTGAGTGAACAACGGGAAGATGAAATCCCAAATATTAACTCTTTTCACACAGTTATTCCAGTTGTCTCCACATGCTTTCTTATTTGTACTTCAGCTCTATAGTATAGATGTAAATCAGTTTTTTGTTACTTACTTAATGGTAGATACATCACAATGGGACCCCTGATGCAAGGTTAGGCCTTTTTTGCATTATCATAAATTGCTAATGGTCTTCCACATCTATCTTTATGAAGATTTATAAAATATTTTAAAGCAAAAAGGAACACATAAATTAATAAAATATTTCTTTTAAGAAAAATTATCATTTCAGACAAAAATAATTGTTTTGAAAAATGATACTAATATGATTGGAGGTTTTTAAAATTTGCTAAATAATTTTTTCAAGGGATTTTTCAGATAACTGTAAACATGAACATAGCAATTCAAACACATTTTATTTAACTAATTATTTTTCAGTATTATTTCAGTATTATATTTAATATTTTTTATTTAAATACTACATTTAAACCACTATTTCTCTGTTCAAATATCTGTTCAATTTAGCTCAGCTCAGTTTAATGCTTTGAATACAGAAACAGCTTTTGAGATATTTATACAATATAACTTATTAATGTATTATAGACTATTAAACATATATGATGAACATGATGCAAATTCATTTAAAATATTGGAAATTTCTCCTATTTTCACAGCATTATGTTAAATAGTACTTATTTCGTGACAATAAATCAATATATTTATAATGAAAACATGAAATAAGCCAGAATTTTAGTAGGTTTTTTTTTTTGCAAGGTTTCTAATTTCAGTTTTTGGGAAAAACCATATATAAAATGCTAAAATTTCATTATCTTGCTGCAGTGTCTCTGAATGTCTTATCTATATTCATCTTTGCATATGTTCCATTGTGACATAGTTCTTTCTGAAAAAATATAGGTTAATACTGCTGGAGAAGTATTGCTGAACTAGATTGAACTTTTAAAATGGGAACTCATTCAAAATGTAGCATCGGTACCTGCATAAATAAGAATGAAAAAACTTTGTCCAATTAATTCATTCAATATCTATTAAAGGAAAATCAATATAATAGTCCACAAAATTGTAGGCAAAATGAGAAAACACTTACCGAGGATTATAATAAACAAATTAGCTAGAAAAGTTTAGTTATATAAAAAGTATATACCGTAATTCTTTCAAAAGCTAGCTATGTTTTTAGCATTTGAGTATTGGTAATTCAGTGCAATGTTTCTATCACAGATCAATATACTATTACATTCAAAATGGCAATTATATTAATCTTGAAATTCAAGTATTCAAGTTCAGCTGTTGGAGGTTTTTTTTTTTTTTACTATGTTCCTAAATAATGAATTAATTGTATACATCCAACCCAACAACTACTAATAATTTGGGCTGAAAATTCAATTACTTTAGAATGGTTCAAGAAGAATGTAACTGTCAGTATGCAAACTACACAATAGTACATAATATGTGTAATTTATTTACAAATAATAGTGGATCTCTTTCCTGTCTTTGTAGCTACTATACAAAATGAGGTATGTTGTAAATCCTATTCAGCTGTTTACCTGACAAATGTTAAAATCATCTAATGACCACAAAAGTTAATAAAAGTAATATACTTTGTCTCTGTAAAAAGTGTAATAATGGAAAACATGACCTATCATTTTAATATTCCAGTACCACAGTGGCAAATGTATTCATTAAAAAGAATGTCTTGCAAAATGCTTTCTAATATTTTGACATAGTTAAAATGGTAAGGTAGCAAACTGGTTCCCAACAGAGGTCAGCTTTCAGGATTTAAATTTTTTGTATATTCTGCATCCAAAATGTTTCCTAAGAATATCTCTAGCCTTCTCATAGACCATGTATAGTACAAACTCTGGTAAAAGGCCATATGGCAGCAGTTTCTTTAGAATTGTTTTCTAATTTGTTTGAAAATTATTGGCAGAGCCAGCTAAACTAAGAAAAGGTTAACAAATATCAAAATACCCTTGTTAATCCTGATTATTAATGGAGGAATAGAAGGTGGAAAGATAGTGTCCCCAAAAATGACTAACTGGAATACAACCCCAAGTCTAATTAGACACAATTTAGACACTGGAAATTGGGCCACTGTTTTTGCGTAAAATAATTTTAAAGTATAAACTTCCAAATGAAAAAGTAAAGAACAGTGTTCTTCTTTCCTAAGGCATATAATGCCATACCTAGGAACAAAAAAAATTGCATTATTGAATTCTAGGCTTAAATAACCACCAACCAATCTCTAATAGGAGATCAACTTATAACATGCAATTAAATTTACTGGCATTATCAGTGCCTCACTTATCGCAGGTAAAGATTCTACCTTTACCCATAAATCTCTGAGTACAGATAAAGTATTTTGATGAGCATTTCTATAGCCTCTGTATAGAGGGCCAAGACAGCTGCACTACTCAAGGAACACACAGGGTACAACGTTCAGAATAAAACATGTAAGAACAAGAAATAATGTGTTCTCAGTTGAAGAATATTGGCACAAAGATCACTTTTACAGGAAATGAAGCTAATATAGATTTCAAACACGTCAAGCACTCATTAAAAGACATTCCTCTTTGATAATTTTTTCCCACTGTAACTCTTAATAATCAAGAAAGTAAAGGCATGAAAGCTCATACGACAAATGCCACTTTCATGGGTTAGCAAAGAAAGAGAGAAAACAACCTTGTGAATATTAATGTAATTCAGCTGTACAAGATGAATGCTAGAACACTGTTTACAATTAGAAAGCAACTTTACTTTCCCCTAAAATTGCCCTTACAACTTAGAAACTTTGCAAGATAAACGGTTACACAGTAATTCAATCTAAAAGTTAATGGCCAGGAAATAATTACATACAATGTATGTCTCCAGGCAGATGGCATTGGAGTCTCTCAAAAAATATGTTATAATAAACAGTATCAAACTGTTTTACATCTTTATTGGAGATATATATAATTCAAGTACAATCACTTCTGACTTTTTCATTGTTAGTTTACTTTTCCATTATATCAAGGATCTTCATTAGTGCCTATGGAGGCCAATATACTCAATCTATACTTGCCAAGCCCTGTACCTGTCAATCATTAAAACAAATAAAAGATTCTTTTTAAAAATAAATTGATGTTCTGCACAGCTAATCACTATATTCTATATTTCATATCCAAGAATTATTTGCATTCATTATAGGCAATCTTACAGGAGGGGGAAATGTTAAGTTTCTACAACTTCTATTTTTAAAATAAATCTCCAGACTTGTCCAGAAAACAAATAGTCTAATTGAGGGGATTATAATTAGTACTGGCTGAACAACACACAATACTATAGAGCTATCTTGTTGTTTTGTCTTCTGAGATTTCATATTTCATTAGCCAGATTCAAAGTGAATCTAATACTGTTCAAATGGACAAGCCCTCCTACATGGCAGCCTTTTAAGAAAAGTTTCTATATCATGATATCAAAATGCTGAATGCACAAATTGACTTTAAAAAGTTCAAGTCTCTGAAGCATAATTCACAAATCTTTCAAACCTGATTGATAATAAATAATAACCTTCATATGAATTGTACCGGAACTCCCAGAATTCCCCACCCTGAGTACTGACTCAAAATTATATGACCTCTGGCCAAACATATCATGAAAATAAATTGGTTGGGAAAGGCTACAAAGTTTTCTGAACAGTTAGCATAATTGCTTCTTTTTAAAAGATATTCACACTTTTCCAGGAATTAACAGAATATGCCAAATTACAGACAGTGCAAATACAACCTATTTCAAACACTTATGGCTGTTTTTAAGTAAATACATTTCTTGTATTAATTATAGTCCTTCCAATTGGCAGCAAGTCTCAGAAGGAAATCCCTTCTATCTTCATCTAACTGCAAACATCACCAAATTTATTTAAAATAGAAATTAACTTGAATTTTTCTAAAAGCTGAAGCAAAATATAAAGCAATGTAAATAAATATTTATTTGAACTGCTGGACATCCGCCTTTTCTCTACAGCCCCTGCTTTGCACCACCCCAGATCTATTTACTAAGCTATCTATATCACTCCAGAGTAAATTTTGGGTACATGAAGAATTATTTGTTTGCACTGTAGAAGCAGCTATTCTATTTAGTTAAACTACCACATTTAAAAATTTTCTTTATAGAAAGTAAACTGTTCTTCACTGCATCAACTAGCCCAAAAAAGAATACAGCCAACCTCAGTCAAGGGATGAATTAAACATATAAACATTATAAGGAAGAAAATCAATTCTTGTATTTCCACGTTACCAACTTCACTGGCAAGAATAAACAACTCCCTTCAAAGGCAGGAGTAGTAAAGTGGAAGCTCAGAAGCATATGATGTATATCATATTCATCAAAAGACTAGCAACCATGCTATTAAACCCAACCAACCCATCAAATTCATAGCATTCCCCATTTTCAGTTCACGGCCTGCCAAGGAAGTAAAGGCGCCCACAGATAATTTTGCATACGGTACGTCTAAATGCCCTCAAATGGGGGAAACAGCCCGGACAGGTGAGTTTGGCTACTTCCTCCCACAATGCAACTTGGGCCGCCCTCCCGATTTCAAACCCTCCATTCACGGAAAGAAAATTAAGAGGTCGACAATATTCCTCTTGCCCCTCCCGGATTTCATCCAAGGCACCAACCGCGCTTGAAAAGAGATGGGTTCCCTCTCCCCATTTCTTTCAAGACTTGGGGGTACCCAGAGTTTCCGGGTGAGAAGGAAGTAGTGGGCCCTCCCCCCGGCCCTCCCCAGTTAGCAGCAGGGCTGGGAGGGCCTTCCATGTGCGAAGGGGGAAGGCGGCGGCTGGGGATACTCACATACGTCTATCTCCTCCTGAACGTCCTCCTGGAGCAGCGACAGATCTGGGCAGGCGGATTAAGACAAAACAAAAGACCGTGAATTCTCTCCGAGGGACTCCGCGCGGCGCCCTCCCCCCATCTCATTACGAGCTCCTTTTGGCACCCGAGCCCACACCTCGCCCCCTCCTCACATTTACACTCCGAGGGAAGAGAGAGACGGGAGGGGGACGCCTCCCTCTGCCAACAAATCCCACAAGCCCTTCCTACCTCACCGTGACTGAGAAACGCGAGCGAGCCGCATAGTTTTTTTTTTCAAAAGAAGAGGGGGGAAAAACACCCCACACTTTCACCATAGTTGCACAGGCGCACACCCCATGCAACTCGGGCGGCGAGGCCCAAGATACCCCACCCAAATCGGGGAGTTGCCTGGGATTCTCTCTCTTTCTCTAAGGCGCCGCTGCCTTTCCTTTTGGGACTTAATTTGTTTCGAGAAGGGGGTTCTCGCAACGGGACGATGGGGTGGGGGTGGGAAATTGGGGTGGAAGGGAGGTGCTACCTACCCGCCATGTTCCTGCAAACCTCCCCGCCCGATTCCAGGGGCTACATTTAACCACAAGGGCACCAAGAAGCGAGGGTTGAGGGAAAAGACGGCTGGCTTGAGGCCTTTGGGCCCAGGCGCGTTTCCGGGCGTCCCCGGGAGAGTCTCACACCGAGCGAGCCAGAGAGGGAGGGGTCTGAGTCGGACACAAACGGTTGCCCCCGCCTCCGCCAGGGAGGGAAAGCAGGCAGCCAAGCAGGCAGGCGGGCGAGCCAGCCTCAGACAAGCTGAGCAGTTATGCTTTTCACCTCTCCTCTTCCGACTGACTCACCGCAGCCTCGGGAGCCGCCTGAACCGGTCGCAGCCCTGTAAGAGCAGTTTATCCCGGCCGGACAGGCCCAGCCGGAATCGGTAATGCGGAATGAATGGCTTTAGCCCGCTCGAAAAAAAGCCACATGGCACATTGGCTCGCCCCTCCCGGGGCCCAGCTCTTGTCCTGAGAATAGCTTCACTTGACTCGGACCCGACCTTGCCTTCCCCCCTTTCAAATTGGTTGAAAGACATGAAATTTGAGGCGTTCGTCTCTCTGGTGGGCAGTGGAACCGTTTCATAGTTCAGCTTGAAGATTGTTAGGTGTCCTTTACACACTTTATGTTTCTTGGATCAGACTCTCGTCCCCCCACCCCCACCCTTGTGAGCGGATGTTCTCTTGGCATCGTCGTGTTGTCACTGACTTCATCTTTCTCTTGTTGGATGCTTTTAACCCCTATCTAGGTTACCTTAGAAGCCTTTTATTATGTAGTACTATTTTCCTATGTAGAATATTATGCATTAAATTTAACCAACAATAAACTGGAATGATAAAATTGAACTCACTATTTTAACTGTAGGTGACCCCTTTGGTTTATAAGATGGCAAATGGAACTATTGATGTCTGGCACAGTAATAAATAGATTAAACCATTATGATGTCATTCTATGAAGAACTACCTTTCAGAATTGGTGTCACAATGCAGCAAATTCATGCTTTATGTTATCTCTTGGCAGAATAAGAAATTGTACAAAAAATATCTGAAACTATGGTTTGGAATGCAAACTTCTATGTGAAGGAAAGACATATTAATAATAAGAATCTTTAAACTCAAATACAAGATTGAAGAGAACATAATTTAATGGAAAAATTGCTGCTGTAGCCTAATGGTTAGAAATATTGTCAGATAGTTCCCTGGTTGAAATCTTATAGGATTAAAGCATTAAAACATCATATGGTCACAATAATGTACTATTTTTCTTTCTTTTCTGCAGAAAAGTATGCTGGCATAAAATTTGCTGCTTCGGTTCCTAGCTCTGTTCAATCACAGTGATAAGATGATGACTATTGCTGTCCTTACTGTTTTAATGCACAACACTTTAAAGAAAAGGATTGGTGGAATCCTCCACCATGCATAACCTGTCAACAGGAAAACAGCCACTAATCAATGTCTAATGTGAGATGAACTAGTATAGGGAAGTGCTTGGTGTAGTATGCTTAGCTACTTATCAGGTTGTCTAATTAATAAGTTGTAGACCCCAATGTGCTCAGTGCCTATGCTGTGTTAGATTATGAGTCTGGCAATCTGTGTCCAAATAATTGGCAAACAAGTTGTAGGCATGGATGAGGGTTAAGGAAAACAGGAGAGAGTGACTGATAATGAACAAATTCCACCTGGTAATGCTATAAAGGCATGCCACTGTAGCAAAGAGCAGTACCAGGAATTAGACCAAAATTTTAAAAAAATACAATCATATGTATACAGCTGAAAAGGTCTAATGTACTCTGTAATGGCAGAACCAGCCACAGACAACAGTTAGAACCTTGCTGTCTTCTAATTTATATCAAACTTTGCAGCACAGTATTAGCCCTTTCTTAAAGAAGCATTACATTTTAAAAATTCATCTAGTTCTTTTTCAACAGGGCATGAAATACTTATTTTAAAAAATAGGTACAACTTTCTTTTAAAAAGATGAAACCAATATTTGTAAGAAGGCTGCATTACCTTATTAATGTTTCAGAAAGCGCCTGCCAGACATCACTTAGGTAAAAGCCGTCACAGAAGCCATTTACCTGCTTCTCCCATTAGCCCATGCAAAGATGGCTATGGATGATAATTCTTAGAGATCATAACAAAGAGGATGTGCCTTCAGAAACTTAAATTGGTCAGTAGGAGCTGAGCAGATTCTATATCTCACAATATTACATCATCAGTGAAAAGTACTAGATATGCCATTTTCCTATTGTCAAAAAGTGCATTGGGAGAAAAGGGAGAACGCTATTTTAAAATAGGAATAATTAAAACTTGCTTCAGTTGTAGGATAGAAATGGAATGAAGGCAATGTTATAAGGGTATGATATAATGAAAATCAGTAATGAGATAATGTTTGTCCTCCAATTGCAAGTATAAGGATAAATCAAGGGTAGAACTTAATAAAATTTTGAAGCTAATATGTAAAGTAAGGCTTATATTACAGATCAGCTAATAGTCTCACCCGCTTCTAATCTATATCACAATAATATTGGATTACAATGTATACGGTAATATGGATAAAATACTTAGTAACCAGTCTAAGTTACTATGGACCCCCAAAGATACTTATGTCTGAGCTCTGATGTTCCAAGGGCTGGTCCCCCTCTGCAGTCATGTAACCTCACTTCAGGGTCTTGGTAACTGGCCCACATTTACAACCATTTGCAGCAACTTACAATCATGACACCTCATTTTATAATATTTTTGCCAAAAACTGCTTTTACTTCCAATGTTCAACAAAAATGTCTAATCACAAACAATTGATTCATTTAATGTCCACTGCATTAATGACTGCTACATTTGCAACCTCAACCTTCTTGTAAAATGTGTTACAGTTCCTCTTACAAAAGAAGGAAATTCCAGATTCATCTGATATAGTCAGATACAGGTATGGTATCATTACATTTTCTGTATTATGATCTTACCATGGGCCATTTGAAAGTTGTTCTATGTAGCACGTAATCTGTAGCACCTATCCTGGAGAAGAAGGGGCGTTGAGTTTAGTATAGGTATCATTAACAACTATTCAGATTGCGATATTTTAAAATGAAGCAAATAATAAAACTTTAAAAACTATCATGGAAATCCAAGAAACACTCTCTTAAAAATCATAATTAATACATTAAAGATGTACATCTGCCCTTATTTAATTAAAACCTGCCTGCCTATTTGCATTCTTCCCATGTCAAGAATACTGCATACAAATACAGATAAAACAATTTAAAGTGTCTTTTGAAAGCTGTCCCTGTGTGCTGGAATGCCATATCGCTTAAGACTAGGTCGATCTCAACTTCACTCATCTTTTGGAAAGACATGCATGGAGACAGTAAGGATAAACGAACCCACACTGCCGGTATATGTTGTGTTCACTAGCCACTTTGTTTTTCAGTTAGTTGTGAAATATATTGTTATTGTATTTTTTTAATTTTTATCAGTCGCCAAGTGTTGTATTTGTGAGTTGGGCAGTCAGATACATTTATTTAAAAAATAGATAAATACAAAAATACAATATAAATAATAACATATTACCATTTTTTTTGACCCATGAAATAAGCGCTTGGCCTTATTTTTGGGAGGTCTTATTATTTTTGAGGTGCAGGGGGCAGCAAGCGTGGTCACCTCATGGCTGCTGCTGTGTTTCAATATTTTCGGGGAGGGCTTATTTTAGCACATATGCTCAAAAGCCCGATTGGGCTTATTATCCGGGGAGGGCTTATTTTCAGGGAAACAGGGTAAATAGTTAAAATCTGTAACCTTGTACCCTACCACCCTGAAAAGCACACAATGACTTGTTCACAAGTCTTTCTAAACCATTGGAGGGTTTATTAAAATTATGTGTGAACTAGTTATCGTACAATGGTTGTTAAATGGTATGGTATTTTTTAAAAATCACATTTACTTAATGCAGTAGGACTACCAGCTGCAGACTTGCTCAGTATTTAGATAAGAAAAGTCTGGGTGGAAAACAAGTAAACGGGGAAAACAAACACTTTGTCACTGATCTATATAAAATAAGTGGACATAGATTGAAAGGAAGGGTCCACCGGAAAACTACCAACAGAAAAGAGGAAGCAAAGGCATTTCCATTAACAGTGGGGAAACAATACTTGCAGGAACTGCAGAAAGATTCATTAAGTAGTAGAATAATGAGTGACCACACTTTGATATTTAAGATTCTGAAGAGAACATAGAATGAGAATTAACAAGCTTGGAGGAAAGTTGTGTGAAATGTGTGCATGGCAAGAGGTTTAGAAAGTACTAGACAGCCTGTGTCCCACTGGATCATTATTTTAGAGATATTTCCTTAACTAAACAGAGAAACCCAATAATCAAAGGCAGGCAAAAAGCAGTGTAGCAGGAGCATCTTCCAACTTTCGGTTACCAGTGGGTTTCCTTGTTGGAATCTTGAAACTCTCCACTACCCAACCCATCCCATCCCATCCCTTTCTAATATGCAGGAAAGGGGCTGCTGCTAGATGGGGGAAGGGTTTGTGAGACTGACTGGGAAACTGTCAGAATGTTGAAAATGAAGATAATGTGATTGGTAGCACAGCTGCAGCCAATAGCACTGAAGCAGCCACAATTTTCATTCCCTTGAGAGTCATGATCCCCAGTTTTTTGGAAGCTTTCTGTAAGTTAGCCCATTTGAAGTACCTTTATTCAAAAATTATCATACTAAACCCAATTAAACCATTCACTTTTATACATGATAATTAAACTGAGTGGCAAATTGACTGGAAACAACAACAGAAGGACAACTAAGCATGGGTTAAAATATATGAAACATGGTTATACATAGAAGAGCCGAGGTGGCGCAGTGGTTAGAGTGCAGTACTGCAGCCACTTCAGCTAACTGTTAGCTGCAGTTCAGCAGTTCAAATCTCACCGGCTCAGGGTTGACTCAGCTTTCCATCCTTCCGAGGTGGGTAAAATGAGGACCCAGACTGTGGGGGCAATATGCTGACTCTGTAAACAGCTTAGAGAGGGCTGAAAGCCCTATGAATCAGTATATAAGTCTAACTGCTATTGCTATAGAACTTTTAAAATGATGAAATAAAGCAAGATGTTCACCGTTTGTTACTCATAGACAACTAAATATA